AAAACTCCAAAGCTTATGGAAGTGATTGTTGATAAATCAAAATAAATTAATAAAAAAAATAATAAAAATCTACTTCTGCTTCATTGAGCACACTAAGGCCTTTGTGTGGATCACAACAAAATGTGTCAAGTCCTCAAAGAAATGGGAATACCTTGTCATCTTACTTGTCTCCTGAAGAACCTGCATGCAGGTCAAGAAACAACAGAACTGAATATGTAACAACCGATTGGTTTAAGGTTGTAAAAGGAGTGTATGACAAGGCTGTATATTGTCACCTTATTTATTTAATTTAAATGCAGAGTACATCATGTGAAATGCCAGGCTGGATGAATCAAAAGCAAGAATTAAGGTTGCTAGGAGAAATATCAACAACCTCAGATAGGCAGATGATACCACTTTGATGGCAGAAAATGAAGAATTAAGAAGCTTGGTAAGAGTGAAAGAGGAGAATGTAAAAGTCGCTTTAAAATGTAACTTCAGAGGGAAGCTAGGTGTTGAAGTGAGTGGAGCACCAGCCCTGGAGTCAGGAGGACCTGAGATCAAATCTGGCTTCAGACACATAACACTTACTAGCTGTGTGACTCTAGGCAAATCACTTAACCCCAATTGCCTCACTAAAAAAAAAAAAGTAACTTTAAAAAAAACTAAGGTCTTGGCAACTGGGCCCATCATTTCCTGGCAAATAGAGGGAGGAGAAGTGGAAGCAATGTCAGATTTTATATTCGTGGGCTCAAAGATTACTGCAGATAGTGACTGCAGTCATGAAATTAAAAGATGCTTGTTCTTTAGAAAGAAAGCTATGGCAGATCTGGGCAGCATGCTAAACAGCAGAGACATCACCTTGCCAACAATGGTCCATGTAGTCGAAGCTATGGTTTTTCAGGTAGCAATGTACAGCTGAGAGTTGGATTGTAAGGAAAGCTGAGCGCTATGGAATTGACGCTTTCAAATTGTGGCTCTAGAGAAGACTTTTGAGAGTCCCTTGGACAGCAAGAAGATCAAATCAGTCAAGACTTAAAGAAATTAATTCAAACTATTCACTGCAAGGTCAAATACTGAAGCTCACTCATTGGAAAACACTCCAATATTGGGAAAAATTGAAGGCAGAAGGAAAAGGGAACAATAGAGGATGAGATGGATAGATAGTGTCATAGAAACAACAAACGTGAGTTAGGACAGACTTCAAGAGACAGTAGAGGATAGAAGGACTTGGTGTGCTATGGTCATGTGGTCATGAAAAGTCCGACATGACTGAAGAACAAGTGTTAATATTTGGTTTTATAAGTCATTACATGGCCTGCAGGGATCCTTATGTACCTTTTGGTGACCCCCTCTTTCTATTTGAGTTTGATACTGTTGTTCTAAATGACTTTATAAGAATGCTTAAAAAGTCAAGGATCCACAGTGTGGGTACTCTATCCACTGATGCAGATTATAATCCTTTCCCAATTTACAACTTCCAGGGTTGTGGCCAAATTGATGATGGGATTCCAAACTCAGCTACACTAGGCCTCAGGTGACAGGTATACACCAAATTTCAACGCTTAGCCTGTCTGACATGGTGATATTCTTTTGATATGACCTTCAGGAATATCTCTTGCAACTGACCCCTTCTCTCTGTTCACACAGCTGTCATCTTAGTTCAGGTTCTTATCATATCTCATCTAGTCTGTTTTAGTTGTTGCCTAATTATCTCCCTGCTTCAAGTCCTTCCCCCTTTTCAGTCCATCTTGTACACAGCTGCCAAAATGATTTTCCTTAAGTGCAAATCTGGTCATGTCATTCCCTTATTCATTAAACTCTAGTGGCTTTCTGTTGCCCCTAGGATAAAATATAAACTCTTGATGGTATTCAAAGTTCTTAACAATGTGGCCCCATCTTCTTTCCAGCTTCATCACATTTTACTCTCTTTTCTGAACTGACTTTCTTTCTGTTCTCCTGTTACTCCATTTCCCATCTCTGTGCCTTTATACTGACAGTACTCCATGCCTGGAATGCTCTCCCTCATCTCAGCCTCGTACCTCTCAAGACACAGCTCAAGTGCTACTTTCTACATGAAAGTAGCACTTTCCTGATCCAGCTTCCCTAAACCTCAATTGCTAGTGTCCTCCCTCCTTAATTGTATTTATTCTCACATATACTTATATGTAAAAGTGATTATCAGTGAGAGAATATAAGCCCCTTGTATTTGTATCCCCAGGGCCTCACACATAGTAGGTACATAAAAAAAACTTGATTGGTTGATGACTCCTGCCATTAAATAAGATACATTAGTAGAGGATTGATGAGGATATTGAGGCTCAGCGAGGTCAGTTTCAAATGATTTCCCTATGGCCATGCATCTAGTAAGTGTAGGAGCTAGTATTTGAATTTTGAGTCAGAACTCCCCAAGTGTTCTTTCCACCACCCTGCCTCCCTGTGACATGTTCTCATTATGGTTTCAATCTCTTTAGAAACAATTTGACTTGTTCACTTAATGTTAGATCCAGTTTTATCCAATACAGCGGTTACAGTATTCAAAAACCTTATATTTCTTAATCTGTTTAATGAACTATATACATAGAAGAGGTATGTATACAGAGAACATTTCATCAAGCAGTATGGTAAAGCCATGGCTAGATAATTAAAAACGAGCAAAAATGTTCTGAACTTTTGCTTAAACCTTATTCAAAAGACAGCAAGTACTATGCTTCTCACAGAGCTTAGAAATCTATGTTGGGGCATGGTTTCAGTGTAATTAGAGTATTCTCCCTTCATCTTTCTCTTCCTTGAAGCACGTAGATTGCTGAGAATTTTGTTGTCTGAGGATCAACTGTATTTGGCATGTAAGATATAATGAGATTATTCTGTGAGTTACCATGCTCAGAAAATAAGGATGTGTGGTTATATTAAATGCCACCAAAGCATTATAGGAATCTGATAAGTGTCCCTAACTTAAGTATCCTAAGGTACTCTAGTTCAGTATTTTATTACTCTTTATACTTCAGTAAGATGGAAGAAATCACTGGAGGAAAGTGCCAGATAAAAACAATCCAAGAGCCCAAAATTATCTTTTCCATAGAGTAACAGAAAGTTTTTCCTAGCTACTTACATTGTGGTGTAACAGAAAGGCCACTGGAATTTGAGTCAGAAACTGGGATCTGAATTCTCCCCAGCACTAACTGTATGACCATAGAAGTCACTTACTATCTCTGAATCTTATGTTCCACACTATAGCACACTGTGCTACCTGTCCTCCTGTCCCACCTCCCCAAAATTATTGTGTTGGACAGAAGAGGTAATGTATATGAAAGTGCTTTTTAGTCTTAAAGCACTATTTACATGTAAGTTTTTCATAATTGTCATTTGTCTCAGAAGCATCTTCTTTGAGGTCACACGGACAAGTTATTTTCCAGAATGTCATTTTCAGCATTTTTTGGCAATCTGACTTCTGTTGCCTTCC